TACCACTCTGTTTCTGGGTGGCTGTTTCTGAGTAGTGGTCAGAGACAGTGATCAGGAGGAGAAAGGGATGTTTGATGACCCATCTGAGCAGAAGAATGCTCACCTGCTGCCAATTAGTGAGGAATAAGATGGATCACCAGGGAGAGTTGGTCACAGAGAGGCATGAATGATGTTCATACTTGGTTCTAGAAGAAAGAAAAAGCCTCTGGCATCCTTAGGAACGGTTAGCAGCAGGTAAGCATGAACTGGGGGTAGGAAGGCGGGGTGGATCTAGCTAAAGAGAAGTAACAAGAGGCTGATCAGTGATCCAGGTGAGTGCCTCAGCTGCAGTGGGAATGGGATAAAGGCAGAAATGTTTCAGAGGAGAATCTTGTTGGCAGATTGGCTCCGAGGACTGAAGGCAAGGGAAGAGGTGAAACCGACACCTAGGCCAGGAGTTGTCCATCCCAGCATCAGGCTATTGTAATGTTCTTGTTGGCAGCGGCTTGGACTGATGCAATGAGTAAAGGCTGTTTTTGCCTGAGCCATTCTCCTAATAAAATGAATGCCTCACTCCAGGCCAATTTGATGTACAGAATGTCGAGTTTACTAAACTGATGAAATAGTGAACTGATGTGTCTCACAGAAAGGGAGGCCTTTGCCCCTTCTCTTGGGCCACAGATGTCTTCTCTTCCTTCTTTCTCCTTTCCTGCTTTCCTCCCCACAAAGGAGAACAAACAAACCACTAGCAGCATCGGCCACACTTCCTTTTCTGTCTTGCCTTTCCCTGGCCTCATCTGCTGTTTGCTCCACTTACCCGGGCTCCTGGGCTTCCTCCCAAACCTTCTTCCCTCTGAGCTTTCAACTGGCCCTCGCTGAGAAAAGCCAGTGTGGGTCTGACCAACAGCAATTCCTGCTCCTGTGGCGTGCGTGTGTCAGAAAGCTGCCAGGGCTGCTGTTGCTGCAGGATACACCCCCAAAACCCATGCCCAAGAAAGGAAAAGAGAGCAAACGGTTAGGGGGCTAAAGGCCCTAGCTCAGGGGTCAGGAAGACTAAGTTTTGTGGCCCTCTGGAGGCTCAGTCTTCACATCATAAAATTGGAATGGTCATAGCACTTCCCCATAGAGTTGCTGTGAGGCTGAACATCACGGAAGTAGGTTACAGCTCTGCATGGTACCAACGTCACACCTTGCCTATTTCTTTTGGCAGTTTGCCCAAACTGGCCCCGGCAGGGAAAAAGCCATCAGCAGGTGGATGGCAGAGCAGGTAGGGTGAACTGTAGCTGATCCAGTCTCAGTGAGGACCTGGACTCTGTGCAAGGCCCTATAAACTGCCACAGCCACCCAGCCCCTCTTGGGAAGCAGTCTAATAAAAAGAATCAGAGACTCCTCTTCTGGAAACTGTGAGAATGTTTCCACTGGTGCTGATCCATTTCTGTGCACACTGGCAATGTCCAGATTCCAAGTCAGAGCAGCCTGCGTCCTCCTTGAATCCCTTCTCCTGTCCTCTAAAGGTAAGAAATTGAGGTCAGGGAGACCAAGAGACTTGCCCAAGGTCATGGTTAAGTTGGTACCTTGACTCAAGGGCAGGGCTCTCTGCAGAACCAAATCACAGATCTCTCTTGCAATGGCAGAGCCCCACCATTAGCAGCTGAGGCTGTGGAAACAGACTGGGGTTTGAATCCCAGCACTTCCATTGACGAGTGGTGCAACTTTGGACCAGTCACTCAACCTCTCAAAGAATCAGTTTCTTCACATGTAAAGTGAATGTCCTCATAGTCCAGGAAATACAGAAAGCACTAAGTAAGCATGTTGTCATAGTTGTCATCCACAGATGCAAGGAAAAGAGCCCCAGAGAAACCAGGACAGGTTAGGTCTCATCCCCAAGCTCTGGTATAATTTGCCTTCTTGTTCTCAAGCCCCATGAGCTCACAGAGTGGACTTAGATGTAGGTATACTGTCTTGGTTTTGCCCCATAATTCTAGATCAGATCTTTAAAAAAATTTTTTTGTTAATATTTAATGCCTACAATATGTGTAATATACAAAGAATAACAATAAAATGAACATTTATACACATCACTCAACTTAAGAAATAGGATACTACCATTGCTTGGAAGTCCTCTGCGCCCCTTCACTCCAATCCCGCTCCCTGGTAACCATTCACCTGGATTTTACATTTGCCATTTCCTGGGTTTTACCATATGTGTATGCATCCTAAGTAATACAGGATTTAGTTTTACACGTCTTTAACCTTAATATAAATGGAATCATGGTGCATAAGCTTCCTTAGCTTGCTTTATTGCTCACACTATTTTTATTTATCCATGCTGATGCAATTAGAGTCCACTCATATTCATTGATGAATAGTATTCCATTGTGTGAATGTGCCATAAGTAATTTATTCATTTTCCTGTTGATGAACAATTGAGTTATTTCCAGGGCTGGTTTTTTTACCCCTATTAGAAATAGTGCTTTAATGAAAATTCTAGCACATGACCTTGATACACATGGTAAGGAATGCTTAGCCACATCTATGACCTGTGCTGGGTCACAGGTATGCATGTCATCAAATTTCCGAGATAACGCCAAACTGTTTCCCAAGTGATTGCACCTTATAATCTTATCAGCAGTGTACAGGCATTCCACATTTTCTCTAAGGTTGGGATTGTCCATTTCTCATCTGTTAATGTAGTGATTAATTAATTTCCATGTCCACTGTGCCATGTAGATGGAGCTTGAACGCGTATCATGGTATGTTGTTCTGTGTGTGCTGTGGAACCATTTGTGTGGTCTCATTCCTTTTACAAGTCATCAGCTAAGACTTGGTGTCATCAGCTGCCATCCTTGCATTGCCTTCTTGGTGAGCCAGTTATAGCTGCAGAGCGGTCACGGCTGGCCTAGAACGTTAGGCTGTCACGCTACACACCACATGGGGCCCAAAGTCCAGTCTGGAAAAGCAGTCTCTCGCTTTCATCATGTCAGACTAAATACAGTAAAAAGAAGAAAGACAAGTGGCTGTAAAAAGAAAAAGCAGAAGTGTAACCCTTGCCCCCTGCCTTTTTCTCTGGGGAAATAAGAATTTGTCAGCCCAGGTGCTCAGCCGAGTTGTCGGTAGAGAGAAAAGTCAAGTGGCCAATGGGGTGCACTTACAGTAATTCAAAAAGAATGAGCTATTATTGTTGCACTCAGCACAGCCTGAATTTTCTGATCTTTGGTGACATTGTATGTGCCTTTACCACGCTGGTCTACCTGTTTCTTTCAGTTAGGAACTATGAGAGAGGAGGGAAAGGAGGGAGAGGGGTCTTGGGCTCCTTCAGGACACACTGCAAAAAGAGTTGAGCTGCTAGATTGGGGAAAATAAATAATGAGGGGGGCTGGCACTAGCATTGCTCTGGTACAAGACTGTCCGCTGTCTTGTGGGCCTGGCCAAGCACAAGAGCCCCACCCTTCAACAGCTCTGAAGAGGTTGCGCCTGAACATCTGGTCAAACCCGAAATTCAGAGGTGGTACATGAATGTCAGTAATCAAGGTTACCTGGAGAAATACAGAGCCTCCGTTTGTACACAGAAAAGGCTCAGGAAAGAGGAAATCCACCTACAGTTTCCACTTCTGCCATTGTTGCTGCTGCCCCTTCTCTCCCTCCTCCTCCCCTGTCTCCTCTTTCCCCCTCTGTCTTCAGCCAGCCTTGGGTCTGTGACAGGAGAGGTAACTGGGAGCCCTCTGCTTTGTCCCTTTGTGTTCTTCCAACCCAGGAGAGATCTGGTCCCCGCTGGCTGCAGGGAAGTATGTGCAGGTACAAAAGGAGCAGTCCTCTCATTTTCTTCCTCCCTGACCCTAAACTGTCTTCTGCTCTGTAAATGACAGAGAAATCAGCGTTTTTCAGATCAGGTTGAAGGAAATGTAAAGTCTTCCAGGAGGGAAGTAGAGCTCTCCGGATGGGTTCAGCTCCTGCAGGTATGGTGCCCTCCTCCTGGCCTCTCCCAACCTGTCTGTGCTTGACATGCCCTGTGTCCGGCGTGTCACAGGGTCTGATGAGGGGATGAAGTGAGCAGTGGATGAGGGCAGGTGGGAACAAAGACAGGGAGAAGAGTAGCACTGTGCTTTTAGGGCGGGCTTCAGAATGTCCTGATGTCAGAATTGCATCGTTGGGAAGTTGATAGGTTTGTTCTCGGCTGACTTTTGGGTACATCCTGGTTTTGTTTGAAAGCATCTGGCTATCAACAGGGTAACTCCTGACTCTACCAGCCAGTAAGGAGGCTGTACATCTTCTGATGGAGAGCATCTCCCTTTCCCAGGTCAACCATTTCTACCCCCAAATGACCTTGGACAGAGAATTGCCCATCCTATTTCACATAGAGCCCCAGGAAAAGAGAGACTCTAACTCTCTGAGTAAACTGTTACCACTATGTCTCTGCCACCCTCTTATTTATTTTAAAACATGTGGGGGTGGGGGGAGAAACAGTACAAAAATGCCATTTTATATAATGGTTCTATAAGTGGAAAAAGCTTATCCATGACTTTATGCAAATGAGCAGAAAGTCTCCAGGAGATATTCAGATGGAATTGATTCTTCTGCTTTTCCTTGAGCCCAGGAAGTTAGCAGTGACAGCACGACACCTGCTGAAAACAGGGACTGTAGGTATTTGGGACAAACAGGAAGTAGTGACCAGCCAGAAACTTGTCCAAACCTGGTCACAAATCTGATTATAAAAGAAAGCAGCTGGAAACAAATTTGCATGCCCAATAGGTTTCACTATTAAAGTTTACACAACGTGGAGTAATCGCCAAGCTGGCTGGCTACCCGGATCACATGATTACATAGAAACATGAAACTTGACTATGTGCTCAGGCAAGTTTTACTTCTCCCTGGCGCAGCAGTGTTTGCCAGTAGCCTGCACTCTCAGAAATCAGACTCGAGTGGCCAGAACCCTTGAGACCACAGGCTTGCCATGCTGTTCCCCAGCAGGGCCAGGAACTGCTGACGTACCACCGGACAGTCTCTGACAATCACCAAACGGAATGGACAAGCTTAATAAAATAACTGTCCCTGCCAGTCAGAAGCTGAGGTAAGATTTTCCCTTTTCAATACTTAACCTTCTGTGTCTCCTTTTTTCCCCTTGCAATGCTCTTCCTGCATCTTAGAAACACTGAAATCCTGGAGATCTTCGCTAGTTCCCAGTGGGTGGCGATTGCTATAGGGAAGTGGGCTGTTTTCGGAGAAATGTGTAGGAACAAGTTGGCCTTGCTGTAGCTGGCGTTTACAATAAAGTGTAAAGTTCTGGAGAGACAATAACACAGAAACGCCAAGGACTTAGATTCTGCTAAAGGACTGCTTTCAGAGTCTGAATGCAACAAATTTTTCTAGGAAAGGATTTGTCTAAACTGAGTTCTCACTCATTTCATTGCAGGTTACTATTTAATTTTAAGGATAGCTGTCGTCATTCATGTTCATCGCAGTTTTACTGTCCCATTCACTTTGTGAGGATATTACAAGTGTATTGGGGGTGTTAGATCTGTCTTCCCAATGCCCTCACGCCAGTGTGACAATTATCTATAAAAAGCCACTTAGAATAAACTCTAAGCGGCTCAAGGGGCATGAGTCAAGGAGCTATGACAAGACAACTTCCCAGATTTTGCTTTTGAAGGTCTTCTTTTTGCCTCATTGTAACTGCATCGTGGCTGTTGGAGATTGGAACTTTTAAATGTTCAGGGAGTGTTTTATATTCCAACTCATATTGGCACTTCAAGTTTTTGTGGGATTACTATGCAACATGTAGCAGATAAGCAATCACAAATAACAAGGAGCTAGAGAATTGGAGTTTTCAGGACAACATTTAAGAGAAAGTCTGGAATGGGCAGACGGATGGCCCATCACAGTTAGAATGCAGGTCTTACACCTAGTATGTGCCGATGAAAGGTAATTGAAACCAACAACTGGTCCAGCATCAGCAGGCAGCATTGGCGGCTGCCAGCCATTTCCAAGGCAGGATGCTGAATGCTGCTGCAGGGTCAGCACCAACAGCCACAAGAAGGCACTTCAGTCTTGCCCTTGGTCTCAAGTTGCTAGACCCTCATGGGGGACAGGGGTGAAACAATAGGAGCCGTAAGTGGCTGAATGTGTATAAGAAGAGAATTGGGGAAGATGGAAGAGGTTCTGTGGAGAAGGTAAAAGTAGTTGTAGAATTGGAGGAAAAGTATTATGTGCTGGGAAGGAGGAAATAGAGAAGCTGGCGCTCGGAGCTGGGCACAGTACAGTCCACTTGGAGGATGGCGAGGAGGGTTTTCTGCCCAACAGAGGCTATAGAGTGGGGCATTTGGGCCCAGAAGGTCCTGGTAAGGTTGGACTCATCACTGGGCGGGGCCAGACTGCAAATGGCAGCGCTAACCGTAGGGAGTTGGAGAACAGGTTGTGCTGTTAGAGGTGTCACACCCCTAGTTTAAAGGAGCTAGGCAGGATGTATGGGAGGGGGAGGGGAACTGGAGGCAGGGATACTGGCGGGGATGGGCACTTAAGGAACCCGAGCATCTGGAGTTGTAGGCCTGGATTGTGGGCACAGCAGTGACAAGGGAAAGGGAGGGAGAGAGAGGAAAGATGTGGCAAAGAAACTAACAAGGCACAATATCAGGGCCTCTCTCAAATGGTAAGAGGGTTCCAAATGTTCTTTTCAGACATATTCCACAGTTTAGAGCTCAGCAGAACCTTAGAACCCCTTTCAGGGAATCCAGGGATTAAACAAAAGCAATAGAACTTAAATCATTTTATGATCCCTCCCTTTGGGACAAAGTCCAGCTTGATCACAGAGCAGTTGATAGGCAATATATGACCATAGATTATAGGATAGAAAACCAAAATTATACTGTGGATAATCATACACTACACTCATCTGCTTAAAGTAACTTTTTTTTCCACTTGGTTACTCCGTTGTCTTTACAGAATTGGCCTGTTTTGCTAAAACATACACTGTCGACGTGGAACTTTTCAAAGAAATGAAATTGTAAACACAATGGCCTCAAAGCACCATCTTAAACCTTTCCTGTAGTTAGATGGGATGGTGAGGAATCCACAGGTGAAATTCTTGCCCCCTGTGAGTTGTATCCTCTGTCCTGACTGGGTAACACCAATTCAGAAGGCTAGCAATTATTTGGCACCAGATGACAGTGTAAGTGGAGGGTTATGTTTACGCACTTAGGCTTATCAAAGCTTCTATGAGAATTTGCTCAAATTTTTAGCCACAAAAATAGAAAGGCAGTGAGTGTCCATCAAGGGGGCTGAAAGGGATGATCCAGGGAGTCTATTCCCAGGGCTGGAGTGAGAATGGAGGCAGCAGGAATGACCAGGAGGAGAGGAAAACCCCAGTCAGCCAAGGCAAGGGGGGCAGGCAGGACTGGAAGGAGACACGAAGTTCTCAAAATGAAGGGGAAGGGGAAGGTTCCCAGATGGGCACAGCTGGGGATGGGTAAACACCTGGAAAGTTCCTGCAGCAGAAGAATTGAGACAAGTGAAGTGGCTAAGTCGCGTGTGATACGGAGATGTGTGAGCACAGGGTCTCACCTTTTCCTCCCATAGAGACACTGAAGGACGTAGGCTTCTCTATTAGCAGGAGTTCATAGACTCTTGGGTTCTTTAGTTGATTTTAGCCATGAATTCCCTTAATTTTATAAGGTAATGATGCCATCACAAACCCCACTGAGACCTGGGCTCTCAATCCCTCCACAGTAAACATTCCTATGATCATAAAAATTTCATACATTTCTAGATGAATTTTTCAAAATTTACCATCCTGAATCATATTGAAAATATTCAAGTGGGTGAAACTAATTTGAAATGGAAATTTACAAATTTTAATAACCTCCTAATGGACTCAACATCTGTGCTTGTGCATTTTTCTTTATGGCATACACAAACACATATCCACTTATTTTTACAACCAGAAAAGGTCTTTGATACAAGTGTGGTCAAATCGGTTCTCCCCAGTTCTTATTTTATTAAAGAGTATGGTATTTTTCAGTCAGACAAAGCAAGATTTGTGTGATTTTGGGCAAGTTTACTTAACCTCCCTGGTCCCTGTTTCTTCACCTGTACAGATAAAGGCAATAATAATACTACCGATGTGGTAGGGCTACTGTAAGGGTTAAATAAATTGTTTTGTGAAGCAACTGACACCTGGAGTTCTTGGCACATAGTAATTATTGGATTTTAAAAATATTTTTAAATAATAATAATATTATTATCATTATTATTATTACTGTTGTTATTCTTTTTACTTCTATAGTTGTGCAATGGATTTTCTGAACATACACAGAGGATTACATTGATCCCTGATAAGTGTCGTATTAGTTTCATTTCTTCCTTCTGATTATTTTGATTATTTGGTCTATCGATTTTGACATCTGTGGCATTTAGCTTTGCATGGACTGCAGATGTGACAAACATCCCCTCTCTGCCTTCATTGAAGTGACTGATAAAACTGTTGAGAGTGACAGAGCCCTGCCGTGGGTGTCTGGGTCTCCCTGCTGGAGCTCTCTCTCTGAGATCTTGTTGGACAGATTCTGGGATAGGCCTTCTCTTCTCAGGTCTTGGAATTTTCAGACGGAGTTTCCAATTCCTTAAATTTTCAAGTTCAGATCTTCAGAAGCGAATTCACCTCCTTTTCGCCTTTCACCACCAGCTCCCTCGCTGGCCCTCCCTGTTTCAGGCGATGGTATCATCACCACCCCTACTCTGACTCACCCTTCTCTCTGCGCCTCCACTCATACCCACTCACTGGCCACACCTGTAGCCTTATCTTTATGGCCCTTGCACACGGGCCTTTTTCTTTCCCTTTCTGCCACACCATCTTCATCTTTCCTATGTTTGTCTGGTCCAAATTCCTCTACAAAATGAGGACAATTCCCAAAGTCCCTCTCAGAGCTGGTCTCAGAAGCACAGAGACCATGTTTGACATATGTTACATTCTCTAAGACTGCCATTTTATCCCATGACCCTGAGGAAGTATCCTTGATATATTTAGAAGAACAATGCAATTGGAACCCAAAGGGACTGATTCCAATTACCAGTTAGTAGCTATGAATCTTGAAGTCATCCTACTTCTCTATGCCTTGGTTTTCTCAACTTTCAAATGAAACAAGAGATGCCTTCCTCACAGGCTTATGTGAAAACCAAGTGAGACAACATGGGCTGAAGTACCCAGAACACTATTTATCACTTTTTCAATATAACAAGTAAATAAAAAGTAAACACAACCACCAGTACCTCAACCCACCCATTATAAGTTGTCATTTGCTGTCTCTCTTCCTCCTCATATTAGTGGATCCAACTCCCTTTAACTGGAGTGGCAAGCAGAGCCAGGAGCTACAAACGGGAGGCCCAGCACCCAGTGGTGGAGATAAGACAGACCTCCCAGGCAGCCTGGTTTCCCATTCTCTTGCACTGCCCACCTGCAGCATATCAGCCGAGAATCCGCTCAACTGGGCCATCTTGTGTCACACCAATGGATGGAATACCCAGAGCAGCTGCATAAGGACTCTTTCTCCCCATGGGCAAGCTACATGGGAGCCACATTGCCAGAAACTTCCTTAGTGAGAGTGGACTTTAGGGTCATCAGTTAAGAAAACTCCAGGCAACTCTCCCATCCACTCTGGGCATAGCTATGCCAGGAAAACCCTAAACCAGAGTCCACATGTCCGAGGCACCCTCTCTCCTGGATCCCATGATTGCTTGGGTACCATGGCCAAACAACTCCTTCCTCTTCACACAACCTGTCTCCAAATAGACTATGATACAATAATTACGTTCCAAGAACTGAGCACAATTCTATTCCAGCCCTGCCTCCTAGGTCACTGGATTGGAGGGAACTGGGCTGGTACCAAACACTTTAGGCACATATTTACAGACAATCTCTTGGTTTTCCCCCCACAAATAACTAACCCCATCTGTTCTGTGAACAATTCAGTATTCTAATTCATTTTCAGAGAGGACCTTACTTTTGCCCTCCTGTAATGACATCAAGAAATCTGGGCCTGTTAAAGAACACGTGCAAGAAAAAAAGAGATTCAATGATAGCTT